GTGTATTATGAACTGTTAAAACCGACTGAAACAATCACAGGCGATCGGTATCGAACGCAATTGATGCGTTTGAACCGAGCATTGAAAGACAAACGGCCGCAATACAACGAGAGACACGATAAAGTGATTTGCAGCATGACAATGCTCGACCCCATGTTGCGAAAGTGGTCAAGACATACTTGGAAACGTTGAAATGGGAAGTCCTACCCCACCCGCCGTATTTTCCAGACGTTGCTCCCTCTGACTATCACTTGTTTCAATCAATGGCACACGGCCTGGCTGACCAGCACTTCCGGTCTTATGAAGAAGTAAAAAATTGGATCGATTCGTGGATAGCTTCAAAAGATGACCAGTTTTTTCGACGCGGGATTCGTACGCTACCCGAAAGATGGGAGAAAGTAGTGGTCAGCGATGGACAATACTTTGAATCATAAATGTATAACAGTTTTTTACAATAAAGCCTCGAATTTCGGAAAAAAAACGGCGGAAGCAAAGTTGTACACCTAATATATACTATATGCGCTACTACTACATTAACACATTACTGTATATTACTACATCGACACACCCAACATATAATTTATCAAAAGAGATAATCTTTTAAATTAGGTTTCCTTAATTTTAATAATTTATTAATAATCATTTATTTATTTTACATCTGGCTCTATTTTTATTTCATGCATAAGGCCTGCACAACTTGTCTATTAAATAAATGCTTCAATGAATTGAAGTTGAACCAGATAGTTTTGATTGCTACATTAGGAAAAATTTGTAATTTCTGAACAATTTTTATCTCAAATATATGGCGACCAAAACTGTCTGGCCAGTATATTCATAGTCGGATATATTTATATTAAGACCGTTTTAAGTATAATCTCAAGATCAATCACAAAACAATAAGAGGGCGCATTAGCAAATTAAGGCATTATTTAAAACTATGTTGAAATAAGAAAGGATTATGAATACCGGTTGTAATTTACTAAAATTTTCTTTATGTTAAGTAGATTATGAAAATCATATGCACAAAAAAAAGGTAAAGTCAGATATAAACTAAATAAATAAATAATAATAAATTGTTAAGCTTAGAAATCTAATTTAAAAGATCCCTTCTCTTTTGACAAATTGTACAAATGTGCGTGCGTGCGTGCGTGTGCGCGTGTGCGCGTGTGTGTGTGCGCGTGTGCGTGTGCGTGTGTGTGTGTGTGTGCGTGCGTGTGCGTGTGTGTGTGTGTGCGTGTGTGTGTGCGCGCGCGCGCGCATCATTACATTAATATGTTTTTATAAATTGTATGTTTATATTGTAAAATTATATGTAAATTGCATTTAATCGGTAAAACTGATTCCATCGGAGATCCCATGGTCGTCACGCTAAATTTCCTTTAAAACTGTGTGATTTTATAACATAAAGGATGAAAAAAATTCTGTATATTGAAAAACATTTATACGTTTTCGATATTTAATCTGAATTTTCATTGATTACAAAATGTATTGAATAAAGAAAAAGTAGATATATAGTGCATTCAAAGAATATATTACTTGTATGATTTTGAAAAGCGCTCCAATCAACATCCTTCAATGGTGCAACAAATTCGCCATTTTTTATATCTTCTACAATTATGTAAGTCCAGAGTATGTCACTATCAAGACGGTATGTCATTGTGAGGTTGAAAAAGTTTCTCTGATATTTCGGATGCACTTTTCGATTGGCTGGACTTTCCAAATTAACGTAGACGTAAAATTGCGTCGTCTTCCTCTTCTGTGGTACTTCATAGTCATTCATTTCGTTACCGTGGAAAAGAATCGCATCATAATCTTCCACATTCATATAGTTCCGATCGTTAAAGATTTTGCACTTATCAAAAGAACAATCGCGGAAAAAGTCTTCTTTTTGTCCGAAATAAAAATTCTTATTTCCAAAGAGTGTTTTCCACAAAAGAATAGTCTTTATGCCTTTTTTTCTGTATATTTTTGCCCTGTCGATTTCATTTGCAAAATAATCCTCTTCACGAATCATTTTCCGAAATATGTTTTGAATTTGAAAATCGTCATAAGTAACTGAATAATAGAGACAGGTTATCAAGATCATTACTACAATTAGACCGATGAAAAGATATGATTTCTTCTTCATTGTTTTAACAATATTCTTATGAAGATATGCTGTCCGCATTTTATATAAAATTAAATAATATCACCGCGTATTAAATAGACTGTCCCTTGTCAGAATAAATTTTTAAGTCATGCCACGTATGACATACGTAGTTATTGCATACGTAGTTATTGCAAAAAACATTGCATAATTTATTAAATCTTATATGCACAGTGGCCTTTAACAAGACTTTTATATATATATATATATCGTTTATTTCACGATCGTTTATCTACTGCTATTGTATAACAGGAGTTTTGTATGATCTTTGAACATCGGCGGTGGTGAAGATCATGGAACTGCACGTTTCAATCACAGATAAGATTTCTTGCGTAGCGATAATGCGGATATGGTTTGATAAATAAATATAAAGTTATAAGTACAATTCTTCATGCTGAAGACAAGAATTATAAAAGCAAAACTTGTTTTTTTTTAACAACTTTTTTTAGTGTCGGCTATGGTCTCGGAAAAATTAGCGTATTACTCACGTTGTTGGAATAAGGCACGTACATCTGTATGTATGTGATAATCACGTACGATTGTACATTGGTTTACAATTAGAAGACAAAAGAAAGAAAGGAAGATCGTCATTCGTGAAGCAAATCTGTTCAATAGTCTTAAGTTTCCATCGGCATTGATTTCTACATATATGTACATATGTGAGATTAGTTTATCTCATTCTATGTAAAGTTTCATTCTATATAAAATTGCGGTATTTCATTACAAATAATCTGGAAACTGCCTGATAAATTCAATAGATTTGTTAGAATTATTTGATTTTAATATTTATAATATATATAGTAAATAAGAGCGATATAGATTAAATAATTACTATTTAATGCCATTTCCAAACTTCTATTTGTTAATAATTAAAATGCTCGATTATGTGTTTTACACTGAAATATCATATATTTATATTTAACAAAATAAGAGGACATTTTCTTTATAGGAATATGTAGCAGATTCTTCAATGTATTGCAGTTCTAAAGGAAACGCTTCATATATTTTATAATAGATTACATTTCATACGTATAGGAGAAGCACCTTACACTTATCTGCATTTCGTGCGTGTGAAAGAATTAGCTCATACTTATCTTCAATTAGTATTTCTGCTATGATCGAGGCTATGAAGCATCCAAGAGAATTCTCCTTCAAATTTACACGATCTGTATAAAAAAAAAATAAAATTACAACATATTTGTATTGATTCAAAATATAATAAATTTGTGATAAGATTTATGATAAATTATTTTTTTTTGTTTCGGTAATTAAATAAAAAAATATTTAAAAATAAATGTCTTGATTATTAACGGGATAAAAAAAGTTACACTGAATTAAAATATTGTAGAATTAAAATATTATAAACACGTAATTCAATATCGTACATACATACATAATTTGACAAGTAGAAAGCAGGCGATGGATAAATAGAATAAAAGCAAAATGTTGGAGGTATTCTAAGCTTCAAGGAGATATCAGATGCAACTAGTGCGAGAGGACGGGCGATTAATTCGCCACGACTCTTGGGATGAAAGCGCTCGATGAAACAGGAGAAATTTTCATGGATGAATAATCGAGTTCTTTCAAAAGATCGTAAACGTTTGATGTTCTTTTGGGGTAGTTCTATCCGTTCACTTTGTCTGTAGGCGGATATCAGGACGGTGGGAGAATGTGAACACGAGGTTTCGTTTGATTAAAAATTGCTCTCTTATGATATCCAACATGAATGGTCTTTTTCTCTACTTGCAGCATAGAGCGTGCTTTAATCTCTCATCGCAGTTGCGTTGCATGTAATACGTAGCATTTTAAGTGGACATTTAAGATAGACAAGATAGTTAATGGATAGTTAATTGATTAATACGCAGTGAACTATGAGTAATGAAAAGCTAAGAATGAATAAATGAATTAATAAATTTAAATAAAAATGACGATACAGAGAAAGGATATACTCGCAAATGCATAATATATCAAATATTAAATACAGAGAGAGAATGATTTCGCTGAAGTATCTAAAAATTCAGCTATAAATAAAATCTGAAAATAAATTTTATTGCATTATATAGGATATTCAAACTATTGCTAGAATGTAAATTTTTTTTACAGTATTGTTCATCATACTTGAATTTCTTATATAATTATTTTGATGGTCCAACAAAATTATTTTTAGATCTGTATCTATTTTTAGATCTGTATTTAGATTTTTAGATACTTCGACAAAATTATTTTTTCTGAATTTCTTAATGTCAAGATTAATTATTATTTTTTTAAATTGTTATTTTACGTTTCTTTCATTTCTGCTTTTATATGCAATAAATATTTGTTTTATGTAAAAATTTATTACTATTTATTTATTACGGACGTATCGATCATTTATAATATTTAATACGCAGTAAGTGAGTTAATATTGTAGGTAAATACACAACTGAACCGTTTAATCCTAATTGACAATAATGAGGACTGCATCAAGCCGGAAGGTGGTTAGAACGATGAACGCAGAGAATTAAATAGTTAATGATTAATTTTACGCTATACCCTGCTTATTTGTTAAAAGCGTAAACAAAATTATTTGTCAATCGCGTAATTAAAATTGAACAAATCTCACTTTAATTTATTATAATTACAAGTAAATTAGAACAATTGTGCGCAAATATTATAAATGCCGTAACAACAATACATATATGTACATTATATATTTTATTTAATTTTTTATTAGTATTAATTACATGCGTGATTACACATTATATTCTCGAGAACGAGAATACAATTTTCCTGTTTCAATAATATAATTTTATCGCAATTATTAAGTTTATTTTTAAATTATGATTTCTACGCCATAAAATAGTGCACCAATGAAATTTTTGAAATGAACAACATTCATACTTTAGCATATTGATTTAATCATTGAAGTAAGTTCTGTCAAGGAAATATTTTATACATTTCTTTATTCTCCCAGAATTCACGGACAATATTAAATTTTTCATTGCCTTTGGTCGTAATTATATTTGATCGATTGAGTTTCAGTTTAATGACGTGACTAATACCATCAACATTTTTTCATAGACATTACGTCATGTATGCAGCAAGTTCCATACTGGTAATTTGAGGTCACGGTTCTCGCAGTACGTCAATACTTAAGTGTCGACGTTAACATTGATAGATTACACCGTCATTTGGTACAAGTTCAGCACACACGTAATAAGCCAATAATTAACATTATCATAAGTTTTTTTCGCAATAACATCGATTCTCGAAGCAATGTGACTAATGATAATCGAAAAGTGGTTAAATGGAGCGCCGAAGGTTGTTGAGTCATCACGTTGCATAATCGCGTCTCTATTATAATTCGCGGTCGAATTCGCATTTACGTGCAATTTAACTCGTGTCATATGAAAAGATTTTCGATTTATACCTTGCGTTTCCTTCGGATTAATTTCGATCAGTCCTATCGTGCCATGAATAAACCATTTTTCGTTGCCATGTCCTTGGCATTTCACTATGGTGCAAAGCGCATTTTTGCAGCTGATTGCGCGTGGTTATGAAATTACATGTCTCGATAGGTCGCATCACTCGTACAACAAGCAACATTTCGTGTCTCGCAGGACATATGTTTATGTCTCGCGATGGTTGTCACTAGCACTAACTTGCTGCCTTGAAAGTTGAAACCCGACTGGTTAAACAGAGCGTAAATATTATACAATATATCCTACCTAACCTAGACTGATCTCGGTAGCGTAAAAATAAAACAGTTCGCGGAATCCGACATTGCGTCAAATAGAAATCCTGTAAATGCTCGACTCTATAATTAAAGTGCGATTATTGCGATTTCTCTTCTGAAGAAATTATTATTATGAGCGATACACACGCAGGCATGCACGCATGCATTTCCGGATATTTTATAATTTCAGATATTTTAGGTCGCATCTATATACATGGCATTGACAGACAGTACTTAGCGATAACGTTTATGTTAGTTCTATAATGAGTCTGTAGTCAAAAGTTTTAGTCTTAATCGGTGAAATTGGCCAATTAGCGTTAGTCATATAAGTTGGCTATTGGTCAATTTCATTGATAAAACTTAGGGCTGTCGATTATCGACTCATTGTAGAAGCATTATGCTTCAGTATTTCGAGAACATATTGACATCTGCGTAAAGACGCGTGACCTAGAAAAATTAATAACTCAATAACTCAATAAAAATAATTTGCTTCGATAAATTGTACTGTGACAATTCTTAAATGCATGGATTTATATCATGCATGTTAATATGAATGAAACTTTAATAAATGCGATACTGAGCGGACGAAAAAGTTCCAAAACTATTTTGATTAATTTCTTTAGAGTTTGCAAACTCTAAAATACTATGTATGCGATATACGCATATACGAAATAATTTAGTTGAAATAATACATACATCAGAGAGTACCTACCTACAAGCGCAGCAATTTATATTGAAAATATATTACATGCAATTTATCATGTTAAGGGTTGCTATTTAGATAATGTGGAATAAATATATACAATGTTTTAATGTAAAACATTTTTTTAATAATGTGATTGATTTATACATTTTAAAATTAAATATTAAAAGTATGTGTATATACTTAAAAAGTATATGTATACACATTTAATCAAGATTATTAATTTGTTCGTGAAAAATCATGCAAAATCAAAAGATTTTTTATTTATCATTAAGAAAAATTCCTTTTTTTAAACGATTTTTAAAAATTCAGTTATTTTCTTTATTGCTAAAATTCGTGAGTGTTACGTGCGGTAATGATGTTTTTACTATGGCGATAGCAACTAAACTAAAATATTTGAATATTTTAAATGCTTTGACTTGATACAAAAATATAAATGTAAATAAATATAATGTAATATAATACATCGTTATATGTAGACATTTTCCATGCATCAAGATAATGAAAATATTTTTAACACGTAATAAATAATTACATTTGCATGCGACGCAAGTTATACGCAGCTGCAAGTCCACAGTGAAGAAAGTAATTTCTATTTTAATCTTATGAAAAAATAAATATAAATGTACTTGTGAATTAAACCAATAAAGTTTAATTTTAATGATTATTTGAATAAATATTTGGTTAAATAAGATTTTTACAATATACAGGTTTCATCTCAGAGCATGTAATATTTGAATGAATATAAATAATAGAATTCTTTCGTGTACGTTTATATAGTATTATTATATAGTACGTTCATTCAATCTTGTTTGTGATTGAATTTCCGTGCATATAAGTTACTATAATATTATCACATAAATACCTAATATGTGATTTTAAAAATATTAATAGATAATATTTGACTGTAATCATTCTCTTTAGAAATATGTAATAGAAATTATTTTCTCACAGATAGCGAACAAAGAAAAGTGCGATTTGAATTTCTCATTATAATCGGATGTTATGGCCTAGTATTTAATATGCCTTATTCGCTCTTTGTGGATAATTACATGCTTAAATTAACAGATAGCATTAGTAAGTTGTGAAGACTGTCCGTCTGATTCAATTGCATCGATTTATTATTCGATTTATTACTCTTTTTTTTTTAAATAACTAGATTGTCCACATCAATTATCATATTTAATAAAAGAACAGAAAATAGAACCAAAGATACACTTTCAAGTTACTCTAAAACTAAATCAGTTTTAATGTCAACAAATTCAATTCATTGAATCCATCTATTGTACTGTTAAATGGTATTGTTAAATCTGTACCAGAAGCT